TTGCCATTGCAACAAGAAAATGCCATTTGGGATCAATCAAGTATTCGCCATGCCACTTGTGAATTGTTTTACAATAAAGTACACACCGTTTTCAACAGTTCTCCGTGCTCAAGACCCAGTTCTCCGTCTTGAGCACGCAGCAGCCGCTTGCCCCCTCGTACTACCATCATGCATTTTCAACCCACAACAGCCTTCTTTGGCTTAGCCGTGCCGTACTTACTGCGGCTACTGACACGGTTTGCAACACCTCCAAGGTCCAATGCGCCACGGACGAGGTGGTATCGCACACCTGGGCAATCCTGACTTCTTCCACCTCGCACGAGAACAACGCTGTGCTGCTGAATGTTGTGCCCTTCACCGGAGATGTAGGCGGTAACCTGTCGACCGTTCGAGAGACGCACACGAGCCGTTTTGCGTTGGCCCGAGTTGGGCTTCTTTGGACGCACAATGCCGACCTTGATGCATACGCCTTTGAGACCGGGGGCTCCGACGTCCGCGAGAGCGGGAGAGACGGCGTGACGAGCGCGCTTGCCTTTGCGGCAACCCTACATTTAGGTCAGTTACATGTTGGAAAGATGGGGAATGGCGTTACAAACCCGCAGGACCTGCCCTATCGTCGCATTCTGAACAGGTGTTGAGGAGAAAGCCCTGGCTTGGAAGGCCGGCCTGGCGAGGATCGAGATGGGAGAAATAGGTGCGAAAAACTGCGCTCTTCGCAGCGTTGGCGCCAAAAGCCGACTGAACATGGAGCTCGCCATCATAGAGTGCTGGCAATGATGGATTGAATGGCTCTCAATGGGTTGATGCGATGCTTTCGAGCTTCGCGCCTCCAGATCTCAGTCCTCCAAATTGCAACATTACATAAGTACACGTGACACGAACTTCCTCAACTCCAGGCCGTCACATGTCGAGTCAGCAACACCATCATTCCCGGATAAACGCCGGACTCAATGCCCCAAGCTTGCCCAGCCGGGGGTACCATGGGGATGGATATCCTCGGCTGAAGAAGATCGCCCCAAGGCATGGGGCGGCATTGTAGGGGCCCTCGGTGCTGGCGATGATCACCTCGACTTTGTCTCTCCATCCATCTTTCAGTGCTGTCTCGGTCACGACCCAACTTTAGCACTTCAATTTGAATTCACCTCCCCCCCAATCTCTGACCACTTGACCAGCAAGCTCAGAATCCCAACTCCCATCTTCATTCACAAGTACCGAGGCTCACCATGTCTTCCCTTACACGGGTTGTTCGCCCCGCCATGCGGAGGAGTCGCGGCGTCATGGCCATGGCCGCGGCGAGGAGTAACGCCCCCGCGAGGGTGGCGATGCCTTTCATCCAGCAGTAAGTCTTTTTATTTCTCGATAGTTCAATTGTCAACTTACATCTGTATAGGTCCTCGAAGCCCCTGTCCACGACGTCACGCCGTCAGAATGCCGACACTCTGGACATTACCGACATTCCCCCCACCCCCATCACACACTTCTCCGAGCTGGAGCTCGCCATGGCCGAGTCTGTGAACAAGTTCGCCAACGAGGTTATTGGCCCTAAGGTCCGTGAAATGGATGAGGCCGAGAAGATGGACCCCACCGTGGTCGAGCAGCTGTTTGAGCAAGGCCTCATGGGCATCGAGATCCCCGAGGAGTACGGTGGCACGGGCGCCAACTTCACGTCCGCCGTCATTGGCATCGAGGAGCTGGCCCGTGTGGATCCTAGTGTCAGCGTCATGGTTGATGTCCACAACACACTCGTCAACACGGCCATTATCAAGTACGGCTCACAGGCGCTGAAGAAGAAGTTCCTGCCCAAGCTGGCGACGAACACTGTCGGCAGCTTCTGCCTCAGCGAGCCCGTTAGTGGCTCCGATGCTTTTGCCATGGCTACCAAGGCGACGGAGACGGCGGATGGCTACACCATCAGCGGTGGCAAGATGTGGATCACCAACTCGATGGAGGCCGACTTCTTCATCGTCTTTGCCAACCTGGACCACAGCAAGGGATACAAGGGCATCACTGCGTTTGTCGTTGAGAAGGGCACCGAGGGCTTCTCCATTGCCAAGAAGGAGAAGAAGCTCGGTATCAAGGCCAGCAGCACCTGCGTCATCAACCTTGACGACGTGAAGATCCCCAAGGAGAACCTTCTTGGTGAGAAGGGACAGGGCTACAAGTATGCCATCAGCCTGCTCAACGAGGGCCGCATTGGTATTGCCGCGCAGATGACCGGCCTGGCCCTTGGTTCGTGGGAGAACGCTGTCAAGTAAGTCCCTTTACCTTCGAGCAAGCGGGTGGGCTCAGTCTAACATATGCAGGTACGTTTGGAACGACCGAAAGCAGTTTGGAAAGCTCGTCGGCGAGTTCCAGGGCATGCAGCACCAGATCGCACAGTCTTACACCGAGATCGCCGCCGCCAGGTCCCTGGTCTACAACGCGGCCCGCAAGAAGGAGGCCGGTGAGGACTTTGTCATGGATGCCGCCATGGCGAAGCTCTATGCCTCGCAGGTCGCTGGACGTGTCAGCGGCCTCGCAATTGAGTGGATGGGTGGTATGGGTTTCGTTCGCGACGGCCCCGCGGAGAAGTTCTGGAGGGACAGCAAGATCGGCGCCATCTATGAGGGCACGAGCAACATTCAGCTTAACACGATCGCCAAGCTGCTGCAGAGAGAGTACACTGCATGAACAGATGGCACTGTGACGCATCGAATAGAATAAAAGAAAAGCTTGTTCAAATATCAATCTCAGGGCGCTGGCTTGGCGTTAAGGGATTCAGTTCAGATACCTGTAAGCGTAGACTTTAGTCTGTCATGACCATGCCCTTGATCTGTGGGCCTCGGGTTGTCAAGTCCCTCTTCTCATCGTGTGACTCAAATCGAATCAACACTGTAGGCTGAGCGTCCAGATTGTCATAATAAAGTGATTCAAATTTGATGCCTAATCTTGGCCTGGCGGGGGGGGGGGGGGGGGCTTGAAAATTGGGGAGCTAGACTCATGAGAGCCATGTTTTTTTGACTTGGATGACCTGCCGATCAATTCAGGCTGCGAATACCATACCTAAGGTAGGCGCAGCAGCAATAGGGTTCGCTTTTTGTGTGCTCGCTTTTCTTTATAACAGAGTAAGCTTAGCGAATCTAGGAGGGTTGTCCGGATTAATGCCAACTGCGACTTGACAGTGCGCTATCTTCACTGGCGATCGACCGCTGGTCAACGATCCTTTGTCGATACGAGCTCAGGCACGAGGGATCTACATGCCCTGGAGGCCCTCTTGGCCCTGTTCTGTTGAGCAGCGTTCGGGTGTGCTCTTCGCTAAGCGGTTACGTACAGACAACGGAAATAAGATCGTCTACACCTCGTCTACGCACTGGACTGTAGAGGCTCGGGTGATGACGCGGCACCCATGCCTGTTCGTCTCTTTTCTGTCTGAGTTGCAGTTGACCCGACATCGTATAAGTTCATGTGCGAGACCTTCACAAACGTGAAGGTGACCAAAACCACAGTGGCCTACCAAAACTAGTGGACAACTGTCATTATGGCGTAGGGTAATGTTCTGGAGCGTTCCTCCCCGAATGTCCCTGCACATCCCTACCTAGTTGAACTTTCGGCCTGGCTGGAATGTGGTTGGGGTGGACAACCCCCGACGTGTCCGGCGTATGAAGATGACAGGCAGGCATGATATGTGACATGTGTGTGTGAGGCTGCGTAGTGCACAATCACACTCACCGCGACGCACATCAGGAAGGACAGGCTCTTGAAGCATCAGTGCCCCTCTTGTGGCGCGTTGCAGCTCTACGCCTTGCATCTTGTGGTGGTGGTGGTGGTGTGTGCGGAGAGCCTTGAGGCCAGTCCTAGAGGGCGCTGAGTGGGTTTTCGTTGCTCTGGCGTGGGGATCTAGGACTTTCGGTAGTCGGACGGGCGCCTGTGCTGCGGTCGGATCAGTCGCCAATGACGACGTCAGGACCAAGGTAGTCTGAGACAGTGAGTGTCCTACAAGAGTAAGAATCGGACAAGCCTCGGAAGGGCTTTATTTGTCAGGTCTGGCGAATATTCTGCATGCTGCGCAGTCAGTTATACTTGCCTGCTAGGCGAACTGCAGTCAAGAGTGTCAGGTACCACATTGAAAGATGGCAAGGACGCAGCGAATAAGTCATCTGATATATCGCGGAGATGTACGTTGAAGAGGTGCTTTGGTTCGCACCATTTGTGGTGACCGAGCAGCCTCTGACGCCATCACAGAGTGGAAGCCCACGGAGGACGGCTAAAGCAGGCATGAGCCAGGGAGGCCTTATAGCGGGCACGGACGCTGTAAGGGACACCTAATCTGCCGAACATTAGCGACCAGTGCCCTACCGGGGATCAGTATCTTCAGCCCATCTTTGCAGAAGCAGGGCACGTCAGGCATCGAAGAGCATGCCACCCCTGTACCTGCCCGAGGCAAGGCCTGTTTAGCTGCCAGGGCAAATTCCCATTTGTCCTTCCTATGGGCTCTGGCAAGTCAGTGGCCGAGCCCCCCTCCATGCCCATGCCCATCCCACCTCACCTGCAGCGCGAAACCAGACATGGGCCTGCTCACCCCGCTTTGCTCCTCCTACTGATCAATGAGCTACGTTTATCCTACCTCCCCCCCCCCTCTCTTGCAACTCGCACCACCAACACACGCAACATTTGTTGTGATCTGCCGCACGGCTTCGACCTCACCTACTGTCTCGTGCTTCCCAGCCTCCAGTAGCACGACTACGAGCCGGCCTCATTGCTGCTTTATTCGACATCCACAGCAGTATTACTTTCGACATCTTACCCAGGACAACCCTGTCGAGGCAATAGTGGTACGGGGTGACGGCGTCGGTGCGAGTTGATACACCAAACGAGCAAAACGCGCCAACAAACTCCTCGAACGACAGGCATAGGCTGCATCTAGACCTCGCAGCCTCGACCAACTGAAGGCACTCATTCTTATCGACCTGTCTCGACAGCTTTGACCCCGCGCGTGGCTACGCGCAACCCTTTTGCCCACCATGAGTGACGAAGAGGCGATTCAGAACATTCTCAAAAAGATCGAGCGCGAGAAGGTCTTGATGAATGGCGCCAACGCCATGCTGGCCCAGACCGACAATGACTCTGTCCGATCAAGACTCAACTCCCAGCTGCGAGATACTCGCCGGAACCTTCAATTCTTCGAAGAAAAGCTGCGGGAACTGCAGATGCGCCGCAACCAATCCGCCATGGATAGTATGTCACTGGGCGGACCTGACGATGGAGCTGAGGGCGACGGCTCGGGTCCTCCTCCGCCGCCGCCAAAGGATGCCGGTTCGTGGGGAGAACATGCTCGCGCCGGCAGCGGTGCCTCCTTCGGTTCTACCCAGTACAGCCAAATCGGTCAGCACGGCGACCTCATGCCGCCTCGTCATCCCTATGCTCCCCCAGGCCCGGCATCATCTGTGCCCAAACCTCGACCCAACTACACCAAGCTAGGTTTGTCTCCCAGTATAAAACTATCAACGCGATGAAGACCGTCATGTTTGCCATGTTTTAGATATAGACTAACAAAAGGTACCCAGATCTGATCAAATACGACAATCCGTACCTGGGACCACGAATCCAGCTCATGCTTTCTCAGATCCAGTTCAAGCTCAAGGTTGAAGAACAATACTTGAAGGGTGTCGAGAAGATGGTGCAGCTGTATGGCATGGAGGGCGACAGAAAGAGCAGAGCAGATGCTTCGGCTCGTAGGGTTGAGAGCAAGCAAAAGATTCTCTTGCTGAAGCAGGCCCTCAAACGCTACGAGGAACTTCACGTGGCTGACGTTGTGGGCTCCGATGACCACGATGGTGAGCACATGATCGCTGATCTTTTTGCATCGGGACGAAGCTAACTAACATCCCCCTCAGATGATTCCATCAACATGCCCAACCTGCGAAAGCCCTTGACTGGTCAGCTCTCTATCCGCGTAGCACTCATTAAGGATGTCGACCACGCATCCACTGGACGCTTCAGCCGCGGGCCGGAGACCTTCGTTGCCATCAAGGTGGAGGACAACGTTGTCGCCCGGACCCGGATCTCTCGAAATGATAGATGGGAAGCAGAGTACTTCAACATTGATGTCGACAAGGCCAATGAGATTGAACTCACTGTCTACGACAAGCCTGGCGAGCACGCCCTACCCATTGCCATGCTCTGGGTCAGGATATCTGATATTGCCGAGGAGATGCGAAGGAAGAGGATTGAGGCTGAGATTAACAGCTCTGGATGGGTGTCAGCCGACAGGATGGGCGCCCCGCCCAGCCAGTTTCCTATGAGCCCACAGCAGCAGCAAACACCTTCGCTTGGGGGGCCTCCAGGCTCCCCGGGGAGCGTATGCCTCGCAGCCCATGAGCCCTCAGGGCCAGGCACCGCTCCCGCCTCCCAGTCAGGTTGCACAGCAGCCCATCGATGGCTGGTTCAACCTTGAGCCGGCTGGCCAAATTCGCCTGTCTCTTGGATTCGTCAAGCAGAATAAGGAACGCCGTACCGTCGATCTGGGTCTTGGTCGCAAGGGTGCCATTAGGCAGCGCAAGGAGGAGGTCCACGAAATGTACGGCCACAAATTTGTCCAGCACCAGTTCTACAACATTATGCGCTGTGCTCTGTGCGGCGACTTCCTGAAGTATTCTGCCGGTATGCAGTGCGAGGACTGCAAGTACACTTGCCACACCAAGTGCTATACCAGCGTCGTCACCAAATGTATCAGCAAGAGCAACGCCGAGACGGATCCGGACGAGGAGAAGATCAACCATCGCATCCCCCACAGATTCCAGCCTTATTCCAACATGAACGCCAACTGGTGCTGCCACTGTGGCTACATCTTGCCCTTCGGCAAGAAGAACTGTCGCAAATGTTCGGAGTGTGGCTCCACAGCCCACGCGCAATGCGTTCACCTTGTGCCAGACTTTTGCGGCATGTCTATGGCTGTGGCTAATCAGATTCTTGAGGGCATCAGAACGACAAAGCAAATCAATAAGCAGAAGGCGACTTCGTTGAGCGAACGTACTCTGCGGGGCACAGGACGCACGAGTCCTACTAGTAGTATGAGCTCGTCCACGCTCGTCAGTGGTGGACATGCGCCATCATACTCTACAGGCTCGGCTGAGGCAACGGAAGCCGCCAAGATCATATACCAACAGCAGACGTCGCAAAGACCGCCCCAGCCTGACCGTACTTCGTCCAGCCAAGCTGCAGCCGCTGCAGCTTCCGCCGCCATGAGTGGTTCGACAGTCACTACCGGCCGGCAGAGCCAGTCGCAGGACTATGGCCGCTACAGCAGCGGCTATCCCACCTCGCCTGATCAACAACAGGATGACCCTTACAACCAGTACGGATCTCAGCAGCGTCCATACAACCCTGCAGACTACGCCAAGGTCAACTCCTACTCAGGCCAGCCTCAGCAGGCAAGCCGCCCGGTTCAGCAGCAGCAGCAGCAGCAGCAGCAGCAGCAGCAACCCCAGGTACCACCGCATCAGGTCACTCCCCAGCAGCACCAGCCGCAGCATCAGCAGCACCAACAACAACAGCAGCAGGCAGCTCCATACCAACAGCCAGCAGCGCCTATCAGCAAGCCTTCAGTACCCGAGCCGTCTCCGACGTCGCCCACCTCCGCTGGCCCGCTTACCACAAGCGGTGGGCGCAAGCCGTTGCCATCGGCCACAGACCCTGGCACGGGACAGCGCATTGGCCTAGACCACTTCAACTTCCTTGCTGTCCTCGGTAAAGGTAACTTCGGCAAGGTCATGCTGGCGGAGACCAAGAGGTCGAAGCGTTTGTACGCGATTAAGGTCCTGAAGAAGGAGTTCATCATTGAGAATGATGAGGTTGAAAGCATACGATCAGAGAAGCGAGTGTTCCTGATCGCCAACAGGGAACGTCATCCGTTTTTGACTAACCTTCACGCGTGTTTCCAAACGGAAACCAGAGTATACTTCGTGATGGAGTACGTCAGTGGTGGCGACCTAATGCTACACATTCAACGCGGCCAATTCGGCACCAAGCGTGCTCAGTAAGTCGCGCTGGTCCAGTTTAGGCAGGTTCAGCAACTAACGCACGATAGATTCTATGCGGCCGAGGTGTGCCTGGCACTCAAGTACTTTCACGAGAACGGAGTCATCTACCGTGACTTGAAACTCGACAACATCTTGTTGACACTCGATGGTCACATCAAGATTGCTGACTACGGTCTTTGCAAAGAGGACATGTGGTTCGGCTCCAACACGAGCACATTCTGCGGAACGCCTGAGTTTATGGCCCCAGAGGTATGAAAGCATTATGTTGGGCTTGATTAAGGAGCATGTACTAATCCCTGCACCAGATTCTGCTGGACAAAAAGTATGGTCGCGCAGTTGATTGGTGGGCTTTCGGCGTCTTGATCTACCAGATGCTGCTACAGCAGTCGCCTTTCCGCGGCGAGGACGAGGACGAAATCTACGACGCCATTCTTGCGGACGAGCCACTGTACCCGATCCACATGCCTAGAGACAGCGTGTCTATTCTCCAGAAGCTCCTCACCCGCGAGCCCGACCAGCGCCTCGGCAGCGGCCCGACCGATGCCCAGGAGATCATGAACCAGCCTTTCTTCAGGAACATTAGCTGGGATGACATTTACCACAAGCGTGTGCCCCCGCCCTTCCTGCCGAGCATCAAGAGCGCCACCGACACGAGCAACTTTGATTCGGAGTTCACGAGCGTCACGCCAGTACTTACCCCCGTTCAGTCTGGTATGTTATTTATTTTTTCCAAGTGTAACCAATTCCTGTTGACCTTATCTTTCCAGTTCTGTCGCAAGCAATGCAGGAGGAGTTCCGCGGATTCTCCTACACGGCCGACTTTGAATAAAGAATGCAGCGAGCCAGGACATGATAGATGACTAAAAGAGGGGGTGGGGATGGGCGGGCGTAAGGCGGAGGGGTCCTAGGGTCGACAAGAATCGACATCAGCAGCCGGATGACCATCCGGCTATGTTTCAGCGATGCCTCAGTTGAGGCTCATAATCTCGCCAAGTGAGTGTGGAGACCATGTTGGTTTTCTAAACTTTCAGCGATGCCGTTAGGATCGGACGGCTTTCGGCGCAGATCTGCCGGACGTCCTGTCTGAATCTGGTTGTGATGGAGGGTGGGCCATGACCGAAGGTCGCTGGCAGCTCGCGGCATAGCGAATTGCACATCCGTTAATAAAGAGCGTTGCGGTTTCACTTAGTGGACAAGTGCGATGTATGCTTCATGTGCCTTGCGAGGGTGTATTGTCTTGTGAGGATCTATGTTCTGTATACAAGGTATCTTACAACATTTTATACAAGGTACGGACGAGGCCCCTATGTCCGCCTCAGGAGCACGAAAACGACGCTGGAGGCAACGGCGGCGCCGGCTGCAGCGCCTTGGAGTACCAGGATCGATGCATCCCGCATGCGCAGGTCGATTCTGCGCTCGCTATACAAGTCTTTGGCTCGGTGTCTCCACAAGGCGGGTTCAGAGAGGAAGGCCTTCCAGGTGGTAGATTGCGGGGGTGTCATGTCCGCTTCTGGTTCCGCCTCTAGTTCCGCAACGGGCAGCTCTGCCGTCTCGGGCACCGCCATGCCCACAGTTTCCGCTGCTGCGAGAGTTCCCTCGGCTGCCGGCTCGACATCTACGCCGACCAAAGGCTCTGGTGTCCC